CGGGGGCGAGGCGGGGTTGGATTGGGGTTGATCTTAGATGGTTTGCAGTTTATGTTGAACCCACACTATTCTTGTTGTTTATCTTAGATTCCCTAGACTCTGACTACTGTTATTGCATGTCATTCATCTTTTGATTTTTATGCTTCTGTTACTATAATGATTTTTACTGGAGTTACTAATGAATTTTTTTTTCTTTTCTTGTTTTCCTTGTTTTTCTCTATTTCCGTCATTCTGAGCCGAGGGTCCATTGGAAACAGCCTCTCTGTCCTACCAGGGCAGGTAAGGTCTGCGTACACACTACTCTCCCCAGACCCCACTATGTGGGATTTTACTGGGTAGTTGTTGTTGTTGTTGTTGAGTTAAACATGCTTGAGGTTGCTGTTTCTTGCTCTCTTGCATGTCACAGCTGATAATTTCAGTCCAAACTCAGATTAGGGTGCTTTTGGGCACTGAAAAACAATCTATGGCGACCAATTTGTTTGGGACTGAGGCGCAATTGTTGTTGTTGCATTTTGAGAACCGCAAGTCCCATAAAGCTCCAGGGGAACCATACTTGGATTTTTATCCTGCACTTGTAATTATCAAAGATTGACCTAGAGGGTGTTTGGATTGGCTTTTAAAAAGGCTTAAAAGCCATAAGCCATAAGTTGGTAATATTACCCAGCTTTTGGCTTTTGGCTTATTTTTGTACTTTTCATGCCTAAAAGTAAGCACTCTTTATCATTGCCAAACACCACAAAACTAAAAAAGTGCTTAAACCTTATGATGTGTGCTTCTTATACAATGTTATGGCTACGATTCTGAAAGCCTTGTCACGAGAAATTCTAGTTTTACTTGATTGACCTGTTGGTAAATTCCGATATGATTTGCTTGACATTATGTGAGCTATATTTGTGTTGACTGGCTTAACTGTAACTACAGGTGACAGCAACCCTATCACTTGCAGCTGCATGCTCGTCAGCAGGAATTGCTGTTTTGTATTCAAAGGATTTAAACTTCTGCAGTAGTTCATCGCATCTTCCATGTGGCAGATTCGAGCTCTCTGTTGTCTTGGCATTCATAACCTGGTTTCTTATAGCCATTTCTTCCCATGTGATGTTTTGGATCCTAGCCACAGTTTAACATTTTAAGCATTGGTTGCCCTCACAAGATTATTCCAGTCGCGACCTTCAAGGACCGGTCTCTTGTAAATCTAGTTTCACCATCTTGTCACTGTATCTTCCTTAGCGGTCGTACTGGAAATTCTTCTGAACTGGTTGATTGCTTGGAAAACCTGCCACTTAACAATTGAACTCGTTCGAGTTCCATTTTGATTCGAGTGTAAATTATAACGTCTGAATTGTAGTTTTTACTTGCTGCAATTCAGTTGCATTCAGGTCTAGGGTCTTGATAGTTTCAGTTTAGCCATACATTACCTGGACATTTGAAAACCAGAAGTTTAATGCCATTGGACATTGTGCAAAAGCACATTTCTTTCTTTTATATGTTCACCTTTTGCTCACATAACATTAAGGTTAGCTTTGCATTAAGTGATAAACTCATTGATTTGTGCTCATTAATTGATCATAACAAACAGTACAATCCACTTATATCGATTGGTATTCCACTTAATGAGTGCAATGCAGTTTAACTTTCTAAACAGAGAATGAAGCACATATTTCTAATAAGGGCAGCCCGGTGCACTAAGCTCCCGCTATGCGCGGGGTCCGGAGAAGGGTTGGATCACAAAAGGTCTATCGTCCGTAGTTTTACTCTGCATTTCTGCAAAAGGTTGTTTTCACAGCTCGAACTTGTAACCTACATTCTGTGTCATCTAGCAAGAACATAAATTGGGCAATAGGCAACATTTTGTAAACTACTCGCGATAGTAGTAATAATGCAGCTATCTTTTCCTCAATGGCATGTACTTCCATATTACAATCCATGAAAAGAAAGGATACATAACATAGAACTGAATCATCTCTACAACATTCTAACATGCAGCCAATCGCATTGACAAATGGAAAAACCTTGAACAGACCAGTGTTCTTCACTTTAGTTTCCAGAAAGTTACCATATCATACAATCAATTTTTGTTCACATGACAATCTCTGGCTTCAGAATGCTGGATTTTATCTCTTTGTGCGGTAGAACAACACCTCCATTGCTGTAGACTTCATCGCCAACATGAACATCTTCTCCTAAGATTGTCATGTTCTCTACTCGAGCCCATCGCCCAACAGTTGAGTGCCATCCAACAATGCTACTTGAGATGCAGGCATGCTTTTTAATCCGTACACCACGCATGATAGTACAACGTGAAAGCCTAACTCCAGATTCAATAACACATCCGGGACCAATCGCCACATCTGGGCCAATAAGACATCCATCTCCTATTACAGCACTCTCGTCTATTAACACGTTTCCAAGAATATGTGGCCCAACAGCCAAATCAGGTGAGGACCTTTTCCTCAAGGAATCCAGGTACAGTCTCAAGCCTGTAATGTAATCCTTTGGCTGACCAATGTCCATCCAAAACCCGGGTAGAACCATGGCGCGGAGCTTCTTCTCTGCTGCAATGCTGGGGAAGACCTCCTTCTCGATTGAGGTGGGCTTCAACTCAATCCGATCCAAAACAGAAGGGTTCAACAAGTAAATTCCAGCGTTGATCTTGTTACCCACGAATATTTTTGGTTTTTCTACAAACGTTTCGACTCTCCCAGTCCCTTCTTCCATGACGACCACACCATATTTTGATGGTTCATCAACCTAACAGAGAAAATGCATTACAAAATTATTTCCTTTTAATGCATACAGAAAAGTAAAAGATACAAGGAGTTTCTAACCTTCGTAACCATAATGGAAGCTTCCCCACCATGGGATTTGTGAAACTCAATCATTTCTTTCAACGGGTAGTCACATATAACATCACTATTGAGGACGAAAAAGGGCTCATCAGAGTCATCTCTCAATATATCACGAGCTAAAGCCAGTGGTCCTGCTGTGCCCAAAGGCTCTGTCTCTTCCGAGCAAGTGATCTTGATATCCTTTTTCTCGAACTCTTTCAAGAAGTTTTGCATTATCTAAAATGAAAAGGATAAGACATTTTCCTTGTAACATTGAATAGTTTTATAAGAACTAAATTTTCTGGTAACTATGGGGTTTAGCTTTACCTTCGGCTGGTAGCTAATTGCCAAAACTACTTCAGTCACTCCAATAGCTTTTAGTGCTTCAATCTGGTTAAAATTAGATTTACAACAACTCAGGCATAATAAAGCTTCCATTAGAAACTTATGTGGTGCTTTAGTACCAACAACAACAACTACAACTACGCCTCAGTCCCAAGGCAGGAGAGGTATGTCCGTTATATTTGTATATCATGGCAAAATACATACTCAACTAGCTATCAAACAATGTATGCCATCAGGAGAATAGAAGAAGCGAGAAACTAACTGAACGGTTTTGATTCAACATACTACTAATACCAATGGTAAGATAACATTCGAGTTTAATAGAAAAACAAGGTGTGTTTTAGTCCAAAGGATGGTGGATGAGGCTAAAGATCAAAAGTACGAAAGAACAACAAAATAATAGAGGAATCAGGAACTTATTATGATCCATCATAAACAAAAGGGAGTGTGGTGATAACACGAAACCTGATGTAGTATCATGGGCTTGTTAGCAAAGTCAACTAGGGGCTTTGGCACGTTGAGGGTCAGCGGCCTCAGCCTTGTTCCAAAACCCCCTACGAGGATGAGTGCCTTCATAATGAAAACCAAAAGGCTGCCTGCATCAGAAAAAACAAAAGGTTGCCTGCATCACAAAAAACCAAATATCCAGAAAAAACCAGTTGTATCATGATGAGTAGTACTAAAAGGACTAAGGAGATGTCTGATGAAAAAAATTATCCACATTATGAGGACATTCAATTCAATTAAAAGCAATGAAAAGATTCAAAACTGACAGCAACATTCCTTGATCTAGCACAAGAACATGGGTAAACGTTCGATGACAGCTCTTTGGAAAGTGTTGATGGAACTTGACAAAGTGTAAGACAGAAGATAAGTAAAGCAAAAGAATATATTCCTACCAAATAAATTAAGAGGTAAACTGAAGCTTCTGAAAGTAGCAACGAAACATCCTAGCAATCAAAAAGTCAGATAAATGAAAATGAACCGCAGAATTTTGGTCACTATGTCATATCTCCTGTATGAAATTTGGAATGGGTATGTACCCGATCCAGCTATACTCAATTTTTATCTATCTAGATACAGTAGTGTTCGCGCCAGCTATGATGCACCCGACTATTCCACCGAGTACCTGCTACCTCCCAATGCTCCTACCAGCATAAGTACCAAGTAATTTTTGCCTCTACTGCGGTTCAAACTTTGGCCTCCAATCCCACTTCATTGACCATGTCATATACGTTGTCATGGATACTCATAAAAAAATAAGTGTATTCTCATCGATACATCTGATAAAAATGAAGTGTATTTCTAACATAGGTTGGGCAAACTAAGAAAGGTTTGCAACATGTGACTAGTCCTATATAACTAATGTCACTAATACACCTAGAGTATGATTGTGCATTGATGATCGTTTTCATATATCTGATTAGATTGTTGTTTCACACGAGAAGACTAAAGCTAAGCTGGTAGACCTGCTCTCCATGTGCAGTAAGATATCTACTACACATAGATAAAGCTCCAAACGTTGTCCATCACTATGCAGTTTTTGTCACTTTATCCCTAGCACATAGCTCTAGTGCCTCTTTGTTTCTCCTCTATTTCGCTTCCCATTGATGGCAAGCCTCCCTTTACAACCTAAGTTAGACGCAGAGGCAGATGTAGTGTATTGATACCGGGTTCATCCAAACCCAGATTTTCGACGCGGAGCATAAATTTATAAAAAAAACCACTAAAATTGCAACAAATAAGAGATATGAACATAATTAAAAATACATTGGGTTCAACGCTAAAAACCTTAAAGGCTGAACCCATAGAGCTTATATTCTGGATCCGCCTTTGGTTAGATGCTCAATCATGTGACTATTAACCATTTTTTCTAGAATTAGGGTGGCGATTGGCCACGGAGCTAGATAAAGGAGGGGGTTGTAAAATATTTTAACTAAGATAAGCCATTCAAATATTGAATGAGTAGTGAAGATTCATAAAGCCGACCCCTACTAAAATGGGACTGAGGCATAGTTGATTGATCGGCACCAAAGGTAATTTGTTATGTCATGTTTCCAAGAGATTAACTGTTTAATTTTGAGGTACAAGATTTTGGTCTCTAGCTGCATGAACAACCCAAAGTTTCAGCAGATGCATCTTTTAGGAATATGAAATAACAACAATAGAAGCTGAGAATGTTATAGCTAGTAGGAAGCAAAGAATGAAAGCAATTAGCAAAACAATAAGGCTTGAATAGTTGCTTAAGCTCAAATTAAAGGAAGTATTCGGTCATAAACAAAAGCTTAAAGCAACTATTAATCATCTGGGCAATGAGAAAAACTAAAAGGAAAAATTAGAAAAGAGAGAAACCCACTAAAGAAAGCATAAACCCCAGATAGATGAAACAGTTACTTACACTCGGGATGGCGACGGAGGAGACAACCGGTTGATCGAAGAAGGTGACAGAGATGACTTCTTTTTTTCTTTTTACTATTTTTGTGTTTTTATTGCGGAATCACAGCATCTTTCGGGCTTGTACTTGATTAGCATATGTATTTCTTTTAAGTATTTGTTTACATATTATTTTATTATCCCTTTTATACCCTTGTATTGTGAAAAAAGATTTAAATCTACCCCCTGTTATACGTTATGTTCAAGTATACACTTGTGGTTATATGATTGGTTCAAATATACCCCTCTTTTTTTAAGTTTGTCCTAGGTAGAGATTCAATTGACACTGACATTTGATGAGGTGGATGCCATGTGACATGCCACTTCAGTGCCCCTAATCCATTTTGCCCTTCCCTTCTATTTTTTTTTCACCACTAAAATTTCCTTGCCCTCCATCATCATTGCTACCATTACCGTCACCATAAGCAATATTATATTTCAAAGTTTAGTCTTTTATATATGTGTGTTTCTCCATTCATCGTCGCATTGGATTCAATACATTGCGAAGTTTCTTGTATTTCAGGTGAAGTTTTCTTCCTTAAGAAACTAAATAATCCTTTATGTTCTACTAGTGTGCGCGATATTAGGGGTGACTAATAAACTATTTTTTTTGTAGACCCAGGTACTCGGAGCATTTGCAGATAGGCAACATACAGTCTTATACGATTCAGATACTTCGATTTGGTTTGAGTTGACTAACTAAAAATTCAATATTGTTCATGATGGCTTTACCTTATCAAATGTCAACGCCACATAGGATTGAATGTCCACCTTAGATATACTTAATGAAAGAAGGGTATATTTGAATCAATAGTGTTACGACAAAGGTGTATTTGAACCCAAAGTATAACGAGTGATATATGCAAACCTTTTCTAATGGTACATGGGTATATTTTGGCCCTTTTTCGTTTTGGGTTTTTCTTTTGTGGTTTTGGGGGTGGGGTGGGGGTGGGGGTTTCAGTTTGTAGCTTTTGTTTGAAACGCGACCTAGGGCATGAAATTTGATAAAAGACTATCATACCCAATATATATATTAAACCAATTAACACATTAAACATGTGTTATTATATACACTTTGTCACTTAAGAATGACTAATTAATATATATTGATGTCTCAATTACTAAATTAAGATGAACTAGTGCAATTTGGTGAAAATATTAAGCGTGAATAAATATTTTTCAAATAAATTTAGGTGGCATTGGTTTCCTCTGAAGAGTTGAAAAGTGAAAATTTTAGGAAAAAATTATATATTTTGATTACACAATCTATAAAAATCTATTTATGGTTATTTTGCGTTGTTTCAAGAAACATAAATGGAACATTACTCTTTAATAGAATATATGAAAATGAAAATCAATAATTAAGTAGATATTTTTTGAATAGGAGCACTATGATTTGCTTTTCTTTTCTCTTTTTGTTGATTGTTGGTTATATAGTGAAGAGTGAAGCTAATTTTCTGCAGAAAAATAATAGTTTCCTTCACCACCAGTCCTCCAAGGAAAAAAATAAAGAAAAGAATGTTGCCGCTAAAATTAGCAAAAATTATCAAAACAATTAATAGACTGAATAACATAAGCGTTCCTCGTCATTGGTTTATTCAACTTCTCTTCCTCTTATGGTCTCTTGGTTTTTAAAATTTGGGTTTATGTCGGTAGAGGTGAATTTAGAATTTAAATTTAATAGGTTTAAATTTTAAGAGTTTTAACATTAAACTTATTGTATTGTTAAAATTATGAGTTTAGACCTAATACTTATTGAAATTTTAATAGGCTTTCCCATAAAATCCATGCTTCATGTTGAATGGATAACACTAGTCTAAAGTGGATATGTGTTGTAAAATAACCGGTAGAACCTTCAAATTATCAATATTTTGATGTCGTAGTTAACTCACAGTTTATCCATGTTTCAATGAAAACAATTCACCGTCTCATTGCTGTGTATCAATCTTCAGCGGCGGATCTAAGATTTTGTGCAAGGGTTTAACTTTAGAAGTACATAACTTTAATTGTAAAATAGTAAATGTAAAGTGGATTCAAATAAAATATTTATAGAAAATTTACGCAACTTTAATTACAATTTATACATATACACAGTATTATTTTTTAATGACGTCGTGCGTCTGCCGCTGTCAATCTTACTATAATTATTTGAAAAAAGAAAAGTTAGTTAAGAATTTGGTGCTGTTAATTTCTTATTACTTTGTTCGCCTTCTTCTTCTTCATCATCTTGTTGGTACATAGGAAAGTTATCGTCCTTTTTTCATAGAGATTAAGCTTTTGGACTAATTATTATGAAATAAGAAATAATTTTAAATTAAAGTAAACCCAAATAAACAAGTAATTCTGCTTTTTTTGTTTTCTGCCACCTAAGTCCTAATTCGGGATGATAACCAAATAGATCGCGATCACCAAAACTCTAATGTATGGACTTTCAGATAAAGCTTTTCTTTTTTATTTCCAAAGAAATTTGTTTTGGGCATAGTGAGTAATGAGTGGCCTTCTTTATAATATTAAAATGTTTTTGAGTCATTTGAGCATAACAGCCTATTAGCTCAGCGGGTAAGAGTGTCGTGCTAATAACGCCCATGGGCCAAAATGTAACAAAAAATAAAATAAAATTAAGGCATCTAATTTACTAAGTCATTTTGGAACAAAATCAAAGATGAGACAATGCTCTCTTAATTATAACAACATTACATCCATCTAACTTTTAGAAGCCTGACCAGTAACAATACCAATAACATACTCAAGCTCTTCTGCTACTTCTTTCATTGATGGCCTATTTTGCCTCCGATCATCTAAACAAGCTGCAGCTAAATTCCCTACAGCTTTAATTGTCTCCATTTCAACTTTACTTGCTCCTTCTTTAATAAAAGGATCAATCACATCCATTAATTTCTCTTGATCCATTATCCTTTTCATGTACACAACCAAATTCACATCTTCCTCATCCCTGTTAAAATCGATCGCCTTTTTAGACGTTAAAAGTTCAAGCAACACGACTCCAAAGCTATAAACATCGCTCCTATCTGTCAATTGAAGGTTCAAATAATATTCCGGATCAAGATATCCCAATGTGCCTTGAGCGGTCGTGTTAATATGAGTATTGTCACTTTCACTTAACTCGACTAATCTTGAAAGTCCAAAATCAGAAACCTTAGCATCAAGCTTATTATCCAATAATATGTTACTTGACTTGACATCGCGATGATAAATTGGTGGCACGGCTGACGAGTGAAGATACGCGAGTCCATCGGCAGTCTGGTGACCAATCACGAGACGCCTTAACCAACTAAGTGGGGCCCACTCACGAAGCCGGAACCCGTGAAGGTGCTCGAAAAGTGTCCCGTTGGGTATGTACTCGTAAATTAAAAGAGGCAACTCGAGCTCGACACAACAACCTAGTAATCGTACAAGACTACGATGGTTAACTTGACATAGAATTCGAACCTCGTTAAGGACTTGTAATGTGCCTTTTGCATTTCCAGGTTTTGCACGTTTAACTGCAACTATTGTTCCATCATCTAAAGTTCCTTTAAAAACTTCACCAAATCCACCAGAGCCAAGAAGATTTTCCTTGTCGAAATAGTTGGTTGATTTTTTGATTTCTTTGCCTGAGAAAACTTTAGCTGATTTTCCACTTGTATTTGCACTTAATATTTCCTCTCTTTCCTTAACTAGTAACCTTATTGTTCTTCTTTTTATGAGGTAACGTCTGTGGACTAGAAATCCACCTAAGAGCATAAGAAGCACTGAGACAACAGCAACTGAAATTGAAACCAAATAGTAGAGTTAACATATTAGGTAGGAATGATTAAACTCGTATGCACTAACAATACTTTAATGAATATTTACCCGTTAGTGTATGTTATATGTTGTGACAAGAAACCTGTTTTATTTTTCATGTTACTATTTACTAATTTTTTTTAGGTACAATTGAATGTAATTATTTTTATGGTGTAAAAATATTTTATATTGACAATGTATAGAATAATGTATACCACGACAAAATTGTGTAACTGAATTAGCTAAATAATTGGGTAAGTGGGTTGGAGTAAAAGAAACAAACCTGCAATAAGGGGCGTTTTGTTCCTTCGAATTTTACAGGCAGTGCCATGTCGACACTCTGCACAAATTGTAAGAAACAGTGCAGTTAGCTAATGCAATATAAACTCTTAAATGTATGAAGCTAATTAAACATTAGTTTAATTCATCCTCGGTTCCATTTTAACTATCAGTTTATTTCTTTCCATCGTCCATTAATTATAAGAAAAATAATAAATACAAGGTATAGTTTACTAAGTTACCTTTATTAAATGCTTTTTCAGAATTGGATTTTTTTTTTTAACCCACCCAAATGAAGTCAAGCTAAACTACTAAATTGCCAATTCAAGTCAAGCCAATTCAAGCGAAACCAAATCATGCCAAGCCAAATCAAGCTAAGCTAAGTCAAACGGGTAAAAAAAAAAAGGTTGGGATGGGTGGATATGTAGGTTAGGTAATTAGTTTTAATTGGATATGTACATATTGTAAATGGTTTTCAATAAGTAAAAAGGGTAATTATTTTAAGCTCAATGGGTATTTTATATAAATTGCTCTAACTTATAACATTATCTACTGCAAACAATAGCCGATGGTCCAGTCGACGAATTTTATACTACTATCATCTTGTTCTTTGGTAAAACTATGTGGTCCAGTTTAGAAGTTTGTTTTGTTTCAAAGGTTTCAATTGCAAATTTCAATCTACGTTATGTACTTCCCTAGGTAGCAAAGTTATGGGTTGTATAAATGGATCAAAAAAACAAAAAAAAAGAACAACTGAAGTCTTGAATTGATCCTCCAACTTGGTTTTTGATAATTATAGATTAAAAAATAAATACACTTTTTACGTTGAACCTATAATAGAAGGTATTTAACCTCTTTTTAAAATTTTAAATATATATTGGTGTGTCTTGATAAATTAGGATTTGGGAATACACATTGAGATCAGCAATGTTAGAGTAAAACTAAAAAATTACCATCTTCTACGCCCATAGGATCCCCAAGTTTATTTTTCCATATACTCCATTTCTTTTTCTCTCTGATC